TTGGAACATTTCATAAGTTAAATCTCGTCTGAAAGTAGTCTCAGGATTTCAGAACTGCTTTAACTTTGCCCTCACTCCATGTATTTATCAAGTTATGAATATTTGAAGTTAATCAAGACTTGCACATATTTAATTATCACTTTTAAGATGATCAGTTCTGGATAGGTTTTTTTTTTTTTCTTTTCTTATTTTTGTTTCTTTTTGCTGTGAATGTCATTGGGATCTTGTTGAAATGAATGTTATAAGTGATAGACAGATTTAACTTGACATACATTTTTTTTTTTTTTTTTTTTTTTTCAAAAAAAAAGACTTATATCAAATGAATTTGAGGGTCCTACAACACAAAATTTAATCAAATTTATACTTTTTTTTTTTTTTTAAAAAAAGGACTTATATCAAATGAATTTGAGGGTCCTACAACACAAAATTTAGTCAAATTTATACTTTTTTTTTTTTGCATCTTATCTCCCTGACTTTGAATGCTGCTAACAAAAAATGCCCAAAATAAAATCTTTTCTCCTTTTTAATGTAAGTTTCCGAATATTAAAACAATTTAAATTTAAGTGTAAGAAAATTGTTCTTGGGAAGATATATTAAAATATATTTGGTTCTTTTCATATATTAAATTTTTGCAAAATATGCCATGCACCAAATCTCATGATTTTCTTTGTATTTATCAGAAAATCATGATCTAGACCTCTATTCCTATGTGTTTGTGGGTGCTGTATCCACTTTTGTCATTGAAAAATCTCCAAAATGTCTAAATAGGTTAAATGCAAAATAAAAACTCTTTTCAGGAATTTTGTTTCTTCAGTGCAGACCAGGGTTTCTAGATGTTTATTTTTTTTTTCCCCGTTAACCAGAAATGTGGTATTGTTGTTCTAATCTCTTTCTTTAAGTACAAATGACATTAATACAGTTCTATAACTGAACTGAAAATCATTTGACAGGGGGGGATTGCTCAAAAATTACAAATGTCCTCTTGACTCTATTATACGCTGTGTTTTGCACAATTAGAATTGTAGTTTACACAATGCTTTACATCTGGTTTCTTTCAATGATGTCAAGTTTGAAACTCTGTTTACGTCATTGATAACTGTGCATACAGACATTGGTGAAATAGATTTTATTTTTATTTACAAAGTGTTTTTTTATTTTTTTTTCATTAAAGAACGTGTGTGTGTGTGTCTTAAGCTGGGCTTAAGTCATGTCTGTGGATGGCACTGGTGAATCTTTGTGGGATGTATCATGGCCATATATGTATGTATGTGTGTGTGTGTGTGTATATATATATATATATATATATATATATTCATGAATCATTCATACAAAAAACAAATATAGAGGTTAATGATAACACATTTCTCATAGCATTTTTTGGATTACATCTCTATTTTTGTTGTCCTCTTATTACTGAGAAGTAAAAACAAGAACAAAATCTACTTCCATACCTGATGATGTCTGTAGGAACAGACGAAAGCTTGTAAAAATTAAAAAGACCTTATGCAACTGGAATTTATAAACAGGGATCATATCATTCATATACAGGTTCGGGGTTGATGTATCTTATTTATATTGTTTGCGACGATGTATTCTCGCCATTTAAATCATTAACCTCTATATTTGTTTTTTGTATGAATGAATGATTCATGAATTTGTAAATTATAATTGCACCTTTTAATTGAAATATATATATATATATATATATATATATATATATATATATAAAAAGTTTGACACAGCTGATTGATATTACCTTCAGTATACTGACTCCAGAGTTTTGTTGGCAGACCCATCCAACTGTACACTTTTTTAAATTAAAGAACATATATATATATATATATATTCTTGTTACCTGCCTAAGTAAGCACCAATATATTAATTTGTTCAAAAAGTAACTGCAATTTACCATTTTTTTTTTTCCTTTTTAAAAACATTTTTACTGATTGTTTTTTTTTTTTTTTATAAAAGCATTTTACCTGGGTTTTTTAAAGATACTATTTATCAAAAATATCATTTTCAATGTCTGCTGCTCAACAAGAAGGCAAATCTTTGATCCCCCATTTAAAGAAAAAAAAAATTAAGGTTTTCTTCAGAAAATTTTGAAGGACTGTTTTCAACTCTTTTTGTTTTTGAATGTTCTGCCACTTCTGAAATGTTCCAGTGATAGAAACAAAGGAAAATCTGTTGGTTCTAAATCTGGTGAGTATGGAAGATGTGGAAGTATTTGGTCTTTTGAGTCTTTTGGGAAAACCACTGTTTTTTTTTTTTTTTTTTTTGCTTTATGTTGACATGCAAAACCCATTTTTCATCAGCTGCAAAGATGGTTTGTCATTCCTGGTATGGAATTTCATGTTAGTTTTTTAAGTGAAAGCTCACAAAGAAACCAAATTCTCTCTTTGCAAGTTTTTCCTAATTAAACTCTAAAATACACAATGAATGACACACTGATGGATGGAAAAATAAATTAATTCTATATGCAATTTTGTATCGGTTAACCTTGTTTCTGCCTTGGTTGGTTGACTCTCAATTTATAGTAGTGAAATATATAATTATTTTCCAAATATATATATATATATATATTAACTGATTTAAAAATATGGATATGGTTTCATCGCTACACAAGAATTACCATGTTTCAAAAACAGAAACCAAAAACTTCAAATTCAATTATATTAAATTAAAAGCATTAGTTCTGTTTCATCTTCAAATGAATTTTTGGAAAATATATATATATATATATATATATATATATATATATATATATATATATATATATATATAATATTGGTTATTATGTTCGAATGTAATAACCTATAATAAAGAATTATAGCTCTACTTTTGTATTGATTCTTTTTTTAAATTAATGTTGTGAATACTTGAATTTATTAAAAGTGCTCAATACAATGTAGAGCCTATATTTATTTCTCGTGTGTTTATTAAGACATACAAAACTTATGTATGTATAGTGTGTGTGTGTGTGTCTTAATAAAATATGAGATAAATAAATATAGGCTCTACACTGAATTGAGCACTTTTAATTGCCAACTTTATCCTAGTTGGAATTTACCAAACAGGACCTACTATTAGCAACTGTGTTTTTTTATTTTTTTATATATATATATATATATATAATCAAAGGATAGCTAAAGTCTTTACTTGAGTTTCACACTCTTGTGATCTGCAGATAACTAGAATGCAACTAGTTGTCTATAGATCACAAGGGTGTGAAACTTTGCTCTGTCTAGGTAATCTGGGTGTTACTGAGTAGGTAGATTTTTGTCCTTAGGACTGTTTTCTTTTTTCTTGTTTGAGATTTTCTCTTGTCTGAGGTGTTAGGCCTTTTGTCAAATTGTCTGTTAGTTACACTAACATAGTTTTTCTTTATTTGTGTAATATATATATGCAAGCAAATATATGGATATAGATCTGACAGTATGAAGAAAAATATACGGAAAATAAACAAACAAAAATCCTTATATGCAATTATGCTGTTTTAATGTTAATATGTCAATGTCGGACGTTTCAGTCTAATAAACTATCTTCAGGACATATTCATAAAATATAATTAACATTATCAATTCAACATGACAAAGACGATGGACATAAGAACAAGACTTATCCAAACAGATAACTGAAAGTTTTATAAGATCAGCGTTCCTTTTAAACATGGTCATGTTGTCGTCACGTGGGCGATGCTGTGATAATGACATTGTTACTAGAGGGTGCTGAAAAATTTTTGTTCTGATCCGGCTCAAACATTTAAAGGGTTCACAGCAACACAAAAGTTAGACTAGGTAAATGATGTTTATTTACTTTATATTTAAAAAATTGTAAATTGTGTGTGTGTATGTGTGTGTAACAAATACACGCAGAATATTTGAAATATTTCAATACCCTCTTGTAGATACATACATGAAATAAACTTTAGTGGTGGGGAAAGTGCCACACTGTAATCCAAAACATATTAGGATAGCAAAATATGCCTTCCAAAAGCTAAGCAAAGTACTAGGAACATTTTGTTAGAAAGAAAAGTTGTGAACTGTTATGTAATATCAGTCTGTCTGGCCTTCACTACCATATAGACAGTCTCCTCACAGATGAGATTTGAAGCAATACAATTATGGTTCTACAGAAGGATGCTGAGAATACCATGAACTTTACATGGAAGTAACAACAAAGTTTTAGAGAAAATGAAAACAAAAAAGACACTTAACACCAAGAAGAGAAAGTTTAAATTTTTTAGACCACATAATGAGGAAAGACGGCTTGGAAATTTTGCTACTCACAGGTCATATTGAAGGCAAGTGGGACAGAGGAAAACTGTGCATAACCTACCTAATGGTCTTCTGTAAAAATGGATGGCAGCATAGAGTTTAGGAAAGATAACAAAAAGACAAAATTTATTAAGAGCTACAAAGAGCAGGAAGTTGGGGAGGGCCATGATCACCATCATCCTGAAGGTACACACCACAAAGAATAAGAATGAGTTAATAAATGGATAAGAGCGTTTAGAAGAGATAACAAAAAGACAAAGAGCTATAAAGTACAGGAAAATGTGGAGAGCCGTGATCGCCCACGTCCTGAAGATACGTGTGTGACACATGGAAGAATCATAAAAGATCTTTCAAATACACAGACTACTCTTCATGCGCCATAAATAATTACCAAGTAAATAGTTGATGTGCTACAGCTACAAGTCTGGGCGATATAATGAGAATCCTACTTCGGTAGTAATAGCCATGGCAAACCAATTCGCTCGCTATGGTGAAGCAAGCGTATTAAAACTCGAGTCCCTGTTTCTGTAAAAAGCAATATCGTTTTGAAATTTGAACGTTTTTTGTTTTGTTTTGTTTTTGTTTTGTTTCGTTTTTTTTTTTGTTTTTTTTCCCCTCCTAAATTGATTTTTTTTATTTACTTTTTTTTTTCCCCTCCTAAATTGATTTTTTTTTTATTTACTTTAGATTTCACTTTCAATGAGTAAATGTTGACAAAAATTGATGTGTATCTATTTGAAATTAGCTACTTTGTGTCTACACTTGCAAACTTGTACGAATTCATCGGCCTTTCTCGGCTATTTTTCTGTGTCAAAGAAACTCTTTGAACCTCCAATTGTATTTCAATGCAATGTATGATAACGCGAAAAAGTATTAAAAAAAAGAAAGAAATCTCGCTCAGATTGGTAATAAATGACTATTGTTATAATATAGTGTGCGCGTGCGTAAAGGAAATATTGTTAATCGCTCTGTTCTTTCTTCGTGCTTTCACAAATTCTTTTTTTTTTTTTTTTTTTTTTTTTTTTAGTCTTCTTGTCTCTTTTCTTTCTTTTTACCCTCTCTCTTTTCTCTCTTTTTATCCTCTCCATCTCTTTTCTCTCTTTTTATCCTCTCGATCACTCTTTTCCCATTTCTCTCTCGATCACTCTTTTCCCATTTCTCTCTCGATCACTCTTTTCCCATTTCTCTCTCGATCACTCTTTTCCCATTTCTCTCTCGATCACTCTTTTCCCATTTCTCTCTCGATCACTCTTTTCCCATTTCTCTCTCGATCACTCTTTTCCCATTTCTCTCTCGATCACTCTTTTCCCATTTCTCTCTCGATCCCTTTTTCCCATTTCTCTCTCGATCCTCTTTTCCATTTCTCTCTCGATCCTCTTTTCCCATTTTTCTCTCTCGATCACTCCTTTTCCCATTCTCTCTTTCCTCCTCTCTTTCCCATTTCTCTCTTTCTCTCTCTCTCTTTCTCTCTCTCTCTTCCTCTCTCTCTCTTTCCTCTCTCTCTCCTCTTTCTCTCTCTCTTTCTCTCTCTCTCTCTCTCTCTCTCTCTCTCTCTCTCTCTCTCCTCTCTCTCTCCGATTTCTCTCTCTCTCTCCGATTTTTCTCTCTCTTTCCTATTTCTCTCTCTCTCTTTCCTATTTCTCTCTCTCTCTTTCCTATTTCTCTCTCTCTCTTTCCTATTTCTCTCTATTATTGCCTGTCGGCAAATCGTCTGAGTGATATTTCTGGATAAAAAACTGAACTCTAATCTTCAATTTATTCTTTACCGCCACAACCTCACCTCACAATTTTTTTTTTTTTTTTTCAAGAGATGATTTTTAAAAATTTTATTTTTAAAATAATAAAAGAACAATTTTTTTTTTTAAATTTTTTGTGACTTTTTTTAATTTCTTAATACTAATAGCAATGCTCTCACATGCACACACACAAAAAAAACAACAAAAAAAAAATCAAATACTAATAGTGCATTTCCCGTTTTGCTACAACTACATTGGAACTGCTATCGATGTGTCTTCTTGTGCAATAAACCTGACAACATTGTACCGACACCAAATATTTGCCTTTTGATGTCTGTACTGCACTGACACAAGGACTGCTATGCTGTCAACTCTGCACTTTCTGCATATCTGCCCTTGTTCAGTGATTTCTTTTTCTTTTTACATTTTTTCTGTATAGTTTCCTGTTCACTCGATACTATTTTTTATAAATAGAATATCCTTGCGTTGAATTGTCCTTATTTTTTCCTTTGTACTGAGGTGAACTGAAATTTCTACACACACACATCTGCCTATTTTTTTGTTTTCCTTTTACAATATTATATTTCTTTGTCTACTTTTTGCTATCAAATATAGGCATTTCAGTTTGTTTCGTATCAATCTTTCAGATTATTACAGACAGCTATCTACAGATCAGGGTGGATAATTTCTGTTTGTATTAATGGCAATACTGGATGGGGATCTGAGATGATAATGTTTGCATTTGGTACCAGTGATGCTTAACTGCTATATAATATCAATCCTTCTATGCTGAACAATTTCCCTACAGATCAAGAAGAGACTTGATGCAATGGGGGTTTCATTCTACACAACAGTGTTGAGAATACCATGGACAGAGCATGTGAGAAACATGGAAGTTTTAAGGAAAATGAAAACCAAAAAGACACTTATAACTTAGAATCAGAAAGAGAGGAAAGAGGGCTTGGAAAATTTGCCACTCACAGAACATATTTAAGGCAAGAGATACAGAGGAAACTGAGAATACCATGGATGGAGCATGTGAATAACAAGGAAGTTTAAAGGAAAATGGACATTTATACATAGAATCCTAAATCTGAACAATATATTAAAGCAGAAAATTTAATTAGAAACGAAGAAAAGAGTATTGAGTTGCAATGTAATATCATTCCTTTCATATGGCAGTGAATGCTGGACAATTTCATTACAGATAAAGGAGAGACTTGAGGCAATAGAACTTTGTTTTACGGCATATGAATAACAAGGAATTTTTAAGGAAAATAGAAACAGAAAGGATATTTGTACTTAAAATTGGAAAGAGCTTGGAAAATTTGCCACTCACAGAACATATTTAAGGCAAGTGAGACAGGAAACAGTGTGTAACTTACCTAACAACTTTGTGTAAATGGGTATCAAAACAGGGTTTTTGAGAATACCATGGACAGAGTATGTGAATAAAAAGGAAGTTTCAAGGAAAATGGAAACAAAATGGATATTTATACTTAGAATCGGAAAAAGAGGAAAGTGGGCTTAGAAAACTTGCCACTCACAGGACATATCAAAGGCAAAAAGGACAGAGGAAAAAAGTATATAACTTATCTAACAAGCTTCATAGCAAAACAGGGTTTGAGAATACCATGGACAGAGTATGTGAATAATAAGGAAGTTTCAAGGAAAATAGAAACAAAATGGACTTAAAATCAGAAAGAGTTACAATGTGATGCTATGGACAACCACAAAGAGGGGGAAGAAGTTTTATCCCAATATCAAGTATGTGTTTGATATACCCGCAGATGTGTCATTTTCAAGTTCAAACTGCTAAGCAGCATGCACTTTAATCAAACTAAAGCGGTTGATGAGGGATCTTTGCAGATCAAGTGGCAAAAAAACAGGATATATGTTATATCTGGACCTGGTCTGTACTAACAGTCATGCTTGTGAGCAGAGTGAGTGCTAGTCCACCCTTGATGAGAGACGGACGTATCTGTCATGGCTCGGAGACCTCTATTTTCATATTGGGATGAGTAATGGACAAGGAGTTGGTAGGGGAAAAGTGTTGACATAGCAGAAGTTTTCCTTAGTACCACCTATATACCCTTCTCGACAAACAGGTAAAGCCCTGAATACCCCCCCCACACACACACACATATATAACACCAATTTTGTATCTATCTCTATTTCTGAGATGTGGTATTATGTACACTGTTTACATTATTTGGACTATTGTTGTCATCTTTGTCGCCATCTAACCAACGCCTTTATCCACTGTGGCACAGTGGATAAAGGCGTTAGATCCAGTGACAGGACCCAAAGACTGTGAGTTCAATACCCAGTTAAGGCAGTGGAGAAATTAACAGGGGATAACTGATAACTGTCATCCATTAAACATGGCACATAAAACTACAACAGTCTACCCCAGTGAGCGAAATAAAGGGTTCAGTTTCACATTCCAACCACTTGAAGAAAGACAGTGTACAACGGCAGAAATGTTGTAATAAATATATATGTAATGACAAAGATGAGGACAATAGTCTGAATAATGTAAATAGTGAACACCATTTGTGGGTCACATTGTACCTTTTACAGGAATGCCTGGGACATAGAATGCAGGCTTGGAGAATTTGATACTTATGGAAAGTAAGTGAGGGAACGACAAACTTAATAAGTTTGTGTAAATGGAGAGGCTAGTTGATCCTGTGATTTTAACCCTTAGCTAAAGAGACAAGACATGGATTTCCATCTTTTCTTAAGGCATATGACCACATCATGTTGAAACATTGGTTCGCGTATGATTACTGCAGTTAAGCAATATTGAGCCTGGTGAGTACCTAGATGGTGACTACTTTGGAATACTAGTTACTGTAAGCTTATATGTGCAGGCGGTGTAATGGGTAATGCTTGGAATTGTTAACTGGAGAGCTGAGTTCCAATTCCAGTTGGGTTTGTTAGAATCACTTCTACACGAATACCCTTAGGAAAGGTACAAATTCACTGACCTTTCCTCTAGCTGTCAGTTAATTAGTAAAATTTGTATCACTAAACCATTATTATTTCCCCCTCCCACAAAAAATTTCTTAGAATCTAAAAATATTTTTTGGATTTAAATAACCTGAAAAGGGTTGATAAGTCATAAAAAACAAATCAATCTGTCTTTTATAAGGACATATTGAATGCAACAGCCTAAGACAGAACTTGAACTCTACTTGCCACTTTCACTTTCCATACTGATAATTGCACATTCTGCATATAATGCACTACTGACAAGATGTTTGAATAGTGATCAATCTGTTTTTGTTTCTGAAATGAGGAATTGTTAATGTTTTGGGCTGTTAGGGCATATCTTGTATGGGCTAATTTTGCATCACGGGGACAAAAATAGCACAATATGATTAATTTATACATATGATAACCACTATCAGCCAAAAATAGTGGACACCTGAAGATGGCCAAAGGGTATTTGCTTGAAACATTGTCTTGTCTAGAATAGCATCTATAACAACCCAAGATGAGAACAATGCTTTGAATGATTCAGAGTATATTTGTAAGGATTGGTAAAGGAAAAGAAATATTTCAGTCAGCAATTCTTAGCTGCCATTAGTTGAGCTGGTTGGCTGAGCTAATACAAAGAATGGTAGGACAGACAAGAGAACTCCCTGTAAAGTGTACAGTATATTAATCTGCAAATATGATACAATCTTGTTAAAAGGCGTTTAAAAATAAGTTTTGTCTTGAATTCTTAGATGATGAGTTTTTTCTTTATTTTTTTTTTTTTTTTTTACAACATTTCACCCCCAAGCAAGGCAATAAAGTCACTAAGATACAAGAGTTTACGGAGTGTTAGGGAATATGAGAAAAAATACCATTAAGGAGAGAGAACAATAAAAGAACAAGAATTAAGAAGATAAAAGATAGCAATTGATATTGAAGTTAAATTTTTGGTTAACTGGGAAGCAAGAGGGTGGAAGAGTTCCATAACTGAGAAGTGCAATAGAAAAGACCGTTAGCATAGAACTTAGTTATATCTAACCCTTTTAACTGTAAAATGATGAGACCTAGCTGCCAATCTAGTACTGTGCTTAAATTCATGAAGTCTAGGTACTATAGCAGAAAGTTCATCTGAACAATTACCACAAAAGTATTTATAGAAAAAGCACAGGGAGGCAACTTTGTGGTACTGGGAAATTGACTGAAACCAAGACACTAAGTCTGGACCAGTAATGTTACTGATTCTCCATTGAATTTTATCAGGAATCTCTAAATAAATAGCAGGAGCACCAGACCATATGTGGCAACAATATTCTATGCATGAACAAATGCTAAACTTGTAGATATATAAGATAGATTCTAGAGAGAAAAATTATCTAGCATGACACAGTGAACCAACTTAGCAGCAGGCCTAGTAATGGATTCAATGTAGTCTTTCCATTTCATGTCAGCCGAGAATGTTAGCCTGAGAAGGTGCAACAAGTAACTCTTTTGGAGGTTAGCATTAGCCATGCTGATGGAAGGTAGAAATGGGTCTTTCAGATGATTAACAGAGCAGTTTAGTTTTAGAGACATTAAAATTAACAAGCTATTCTTTGCCCCAGTTAACAACAGACTGTAGACTTTGTGAGATCCTCCACCAATTTGAACTTATTGAACTCCACAAACTTAGTATCAAGACAAGAGTAAATGGTTGTGTTATCAGTATAGATACCAAGTTGAAAGCTGATGTCATTAGGAAGGTCATTAATGAAAATTAAAAATGAAGTTGGACCAAGAATAGAGACCTGTGGGGACACCTGCATGAGTACAGAAAGATCTAGAAGAGTGGTCATTCAGGTCAATTTTCATTTCATGATTTGGTAAGAAAGACCGAATCAGTTTAAAAATTTGTTTGGAGAAACCAGAACTTATCAAACCCTGCTGAATGCTTTCAAGATAACCAAAGCAACAGCTTGAGCTTCACCATTCTTATTGAAAGCTTGATAGACTCTTTC